AAAACTGCATTCAAATATCATGATGTTTGATAGATGTCAAACTGAGAAAGTGAATGTAGAACTGACACTGAGCAGTCTATGGTGGGTTTGATGCAGGATAAAGAGATAGATGATTTGGGGCTGGAGCAATAGCACAGCGGGTAGGGCGTTTGCCTTGCACTTGGCCGACCCGGGTTCGATTCCCAGCATCCCATATGGTTCCCCAAGCACCGCCAGGAGTAATTCCTGAGTGCTGAGTGCAGAACCAGGAGTAACCCCTGAGCATGTGTTGGGTGTGACCCAAAAAGCAAAAAAAAAAAAAAAAATAAGAGAGACAGATGATTTCATACTGGTGAACGGCTGGGAGGGACCTGGACCCATTCTAAACCTTAGGGCAGGGTGCTGTGCGAACTCTGTAGGAATGGTGAGTGCTAGTGCCAGACCACAGGGCTGTCTTTCTAAAGTATTCATGCCTCTCTTTAAGTCTGAAACCCACGTTACTTTAAATAGTTATTTCATGGATTGAAGAGATACCTCAATGAATGGGACTAAGTGCATATAGTTGCTTGCAAGAGATCTAGGAGTGATTTCACAACAATGGAGTCATCCAAAGAACACAAGAACTAGACAGAAGAATGTAGTGAAAATGAGGAGGAAAAAAAAATCTGTCTCCAGAAAAAAATATCGTCATGTTTTCTGAAAATGTCTTAGAATATCAAAGACAATGAGATGTTAGATTCTGCCTGATAGACTGGTGATACATAAGTGTTGTGCCATTTTCAGAAATATTCAGGAGCTTACAATCTCAGGTTGATAATGGGATTTGATGCTGGCATTAGTTTTAGTGATAGAAACTCTTTGCAGAATTAGCCTAATGTTCTTTGTCTTCTAAATTCAGAGACAAAATATAGATGAAAAATGCATCAGAGGACCTGGAGGGCCCTCCTAGCACACTGGGAGGGAGGGGGCATTTGCATTGCACTCAGCCAACCCACGTTCAATCCCTAGCATCCCACACGGTCCCCCGAGCAACACCAGGAGTAATTCCTGAGTTCAGAGCCAGGAATAGCCCCTGAGCATCGCTGGGTGTGACAGAAAAAGCAAAATAAAATAAAATAAAATGCATCTGAGTGTTTTAAGCATTACATATGTGACATCCTTTATGTCTTGTGTACTTTATTTGTGAAGATAATCAAGAATTTGATGCTGTATAGATATAAAGATGCAAATTACAGAGATATCTTTGCATTAAATTACAAAACCATTGTGTTTACTTTCATGAATACAAAAATTCCTTTCATAATGGTGGTTTTCCCTACAGTTTCTAGCATTAGTTTCAGATAAGACTGAAGAGATTGAACACCACTCTACTGGAATTATTTCATTGATTTTTTTGAAGGCTGTCATAGCTTTCTTTCCTTGTGATGATCATCTCAAATGGTTACCAGTTTTGTATATATGTCAAGACAATGGAACTATAAATATCTCTATTGTAGATTCTAGATTTATCTATAATAATTCAAACTAAAGTTTAATAAAGAGAAAACTGATCAATAAACTATAAAATAATTTAGATATCAAGTTTCTATTCCCTGATATTGTGGGGAAAGGGAACAACGAGGAGAACTTTGGGAAATGATGTTTCAGTGAACTCTGGGCACACAAGACAAGTGGAGGAGCTGGGAATGCCAGAAGTGCCCACGGCCACCAGCACAACTTACCTTTACGGTGACCACTTCAGTGTCTGACCATAGGGACAGGTAGCTGGAGCTTCTGACACTGGTGGTGCAGAATTGGAAGAGACTAGTAAGGAAAAGGTTTGGTCATTGTTCATTTTTGTTTGGTGCATCAGACAGTGCTGAGGCAGACACTTTTCTAAATGCTCTATGGTATTAAAATATAAAGATTAACTCTCAATAGGAAGAAAACAAAATGTGAGGATGGAGAGGTAGCTCAGCATTTCTTTTTACTCTCTCTCCTTTCGTGAATTATGATTTATAATACAGGTACTAAGAGGTCATTGTGTTCAGGACATTCAGTATTTTTATTAGGAAGATAAGGCTGGAGTGGTGTTTTTTTTTCCTTTTTGTGTTACACCTGGCAATGCACAGGAGTTACTCCTGGCTCTGTGCTCAGGAATTACACCTGGATGTACTCATTTCATCTCCTGCCCTAGTAGGCCTGACCTCAGATTCTGTAAGCTTCCCATCCCGCGTCTTGCATGAACTGGTAAGCGCCCCCCACCCCACAAGCCACAGTCAGTCCCTATTCTCCTCTCCAGTTGTTCTAGACAAGCCCCCAAACCAGAGTCCCCTATCTGCAGCTCCTCTGGTCTTCAGGAAGGCAAGAAATGTGACAGGGAAGAGGCCAATTTCATAGGAGCCCAAAGGAGGAGAAGCGCCCTCCCCCACTTACTTATGGGGTGTTTAAGGAGTAGCAGGTGTTGATAATCATTCAACAGCCCCAGAAGAAAGATCTCCCCTAGAAACGGAAGTCCAGTCCTCACGATGAAGGGACAATCCTAGGTTTTACTGCCATGAGGAGGAAAACATGAAATGGGGCAAAATAAAGAGAGGTTCTCTAGCATGGCATTAGTCCTTGTACTCCACGCTCTCCCCTGGGTTCTTTCTGTGTGACCTTTTGTGTGTTTTTTTTAAAAGACTTTGTATTATTTTTCAAAAGACTACTGCATCTGACCTTCAGTTTTCCTTTTGGTGGTAAACCAGGGTAAAGCGATCACTTTAATATTTTGCTTCAGTTAAGCAACTGTAACATATTAACTCTAATGCCTTCTTCATAAATTTGAACACAAAAATGGATGCTATCACTTCCACCCAAAATCTTTGATATCCATGCAACCACACCATACACAGATGAATAAATTTTTGTCCTTCAATGGAGGGAGGGAAATGTACCTGCCACAGAAGCAGGCTGGGGGTGGGAGGAAAATCAGAGAGATTGGTGGAAGGTAGTGAGCACTGGTGAAGGCATTGTTGGAACAATATATGCCTTCTCATGTTTTTTTTTCTTTTTGGGGTCACACCTGGGTGTTGCACAGGGGTTACTTCTGGCTCTGCACTCAGGAATTACTACTGGCGGTGCTCGGGGGACCATATGGGATGCTGGGAATCGAACTTGGGTATGCCCCGTGCAAGGCAAATGCCCTACCCACTGTCCTATCGCTCCACGTCTTGGAAGAAAAGCTTTTTAACAGGTTATAAAACCACTGGAAGATATTTCCTCTTGCTTCTTTTGACCTCTCTTTCCCCAGGTATGTCCTGTAAAAAAGCAAATAATAACAGAACCAGAACATGGTGGGGATTTCCTTTAACGCCCCACCAATCCACAGTGATTAGGAAAAGATCAAGAAAATTTTGAGGTCAAGACAGAGACATTCACAGTTCTGTGGATGATGTAGGAGAAAACTTTGACATGCCAACCACCATGCATCCCATAGCTTGAAGGAAGCCAGAATGTTTTATTTATCTGTTTGTTTGCCTGTTAGAGGAAAAATAATTCCAAGCCTTGCAGGGAGCCTAAAGATTCTGAGAATGAGCAACTTTTGTTCTGAGTTTAGCTGTACCTGGGGTTACTCAACGCTCTGTGCTCAAGGGACACTCCTAGCAGTGCTTGGGGGACCATATGCAGTGGAATTGAATCTCAGTGGAGAAGTAGAAACTTATAAATTCAGTTGCACTTTCAGAAAGGAAGATTGAACTTGAAACACAGTCTGGTACTACTATTTCTTTCTCAACCAGGATGGGATTAAGAAACATTGTGAAGGTGGGGCTGGAGTGATAGCACAGCTGGTAGGGCGTTTTTTTGTTTGTTTGTTTGTTTGTTTTGCCTTTTTGGGCGTTTGCCTTGCAGGGCCACCAACCCGGGTTCGATTTCCAGCGTTCCATATGGTCCCCCGAGCACAGAGCACCGCCAGGGGTAATTCCTGAGTGCAGAGACAGGAGTAATCCCTGTGAAACACCCAGGTGTGACCCAAAAAAGAAAAAAAAAAGAAAGAAAGAAAGAAAGAAAGAAAGAAAGAAAGAAAGAAAGAAATATGAGAAGGATAAAGGTAGGAAATTCACTGTGGAGATTGGATTTTCAGGATTAGTGGCCTACCTCTTGCCCCCTGGCTAAATACTACTTAATCCCTACTTTCAGAGTATCCTATCAGGGTTAATTCACCTCCCTTCCTTCTGACTGGTCTTTTCTTTAAAGCCCCACCCATCCAACAGAATATAAAAACAGGTCAAACACAGGACAGAGCGGCAGGCCGACTTCCAGTCCTTCGGGGAGAGTCAGCTCAACACCAGCACCAAGGACTCAACCAGACCAGGGTCACCGATCCAGGTAATAACCAATAAGGACTGTAGGTTTACGGGAGGCAGAGGGAGAGCATAATTTCCATTCCTAGTGTCTGTTCTATGGAGAACACTATTTTTATTGGAGGAAATACTTCATAGAGGATCTGATATCTGTTTCCTTATATGAAGTACTATACCTTAGCACCTATCTTCCTGGATTACGTTGAGTCGTTTCCCCATCTCCAGGACTTTGGTCACAGCTGGGGATTGTCACTAAATAATCAGGGTTCTATTCCATGAAGCCTTACAGAGTTGGCTATCTATGAGTGATTATGGAGAAGGAGAATCTGGTTGCGTTGAAGACGGTGAACAGGGCACTGGAAAGCTCGTTCTCCTACTTCCTTGGGAGGGTCTTATCTTCCTCAGAACACATCAACTCTTTTAAAGCTGTAGATATTGCTGGCCAAGAGAGTTGTTGAGCTCGACTTCCCTTCATATCCACATTTATTCATGACGGGCTGCTCCTTGTGACTTGAGTCACTGGACAACAGTGGATCAGGCAGTATGATAAATCATCAGAGAGGGACCCTCACTGAGAAAGACATTGGGTATACGATACAGTTCTGAAGGTGTAACTTGTTTTGACAGGAAACCGCCTGAGGACTCCCAAATTCAGACAGTGCCCACGCTAACCCAATCCTGCCCTTCCCACACCTGAGGATGGAAGAGGTGTCAGCAGTCCTGGCCAAAATCCAGCCAAAATGCTTCTGTCCCGTCTGCCTGGACTACCTCAAGGACCCTGTCACCATCGACTGCGGCCACAACTTCTGCGACTCCTGCATCCGCATGTCATGGAAGGACCTGCAGGACACATTCCCTTGTCCCGTGTGCCAACTGGTCCGCCAGGAGATGCGTGTCAGTGCCAACGCCCAGCTGGGCAGGCTGGTGGGCCTGGCCAAACGCCTGTATAGCTCCAGGAGCAGCAAGATGGCATGGGGAGAGGAGCACAGGCATGAAGACCACAGGCAGGGGATGAGCCTCTTCTGCGAGGATGATCAGGAGCTGCTATGTCCCCTGTTTGCCCGGTGTCTTGATCTTCAGAGTTCTGTGGAAGAGGCCGCATCCTATCACAGACAGAGGCTCAACAGGTACATCAAGTCCCTGAAGAAGCGGTTGGCAAAGGTGCAGAAGCTAAAAGTCACCCATGAGAGAAAGATCCTTCAACTGACCGAGGAGGCCAGAATGCTTAAGAGTCAGCTGGCCTCAGAATTTGAGCTGCTCACCCAGTTTGTGGAGCATGAGCAAGAGGCAGCTCTCCGCAGGCTGGCAGAAGAGGAGAAACGCCTGCAGCAGCAGCTCAGGGCCAACCTGGAGGCCTACTCAGACCACATCTGGGCGCTGAAAGACCTCAGACGGGAGGTGGCGGAGCGGAGCGTGATGTCCGAGGAGATGGTGCTGAGGGGGGTGAGGGGCCTGCAGCAGCGCTGGGCAGGCCTGCAGCCCCTGGCCGTGCAGCCCCTGCACTTAAGGCCAGCGGCCTACAGCCTCCCTCCTCTGTGCTCGGCGCTCAGCAGCATCATCCGGAGATTCCGAGAGAGCATCAGCCTGGACCCCCACACAGCCCATCCCAGCCTGCGTGTGTCTAAAGATAAAAAGTCTGTGACCTGGGTGAGGAAAAATCTCAACCGTGCTTGAAATCCCGGGCCATTGGAAGATGCTGCCGAGCTGGTGGTCCTGGGCCGGGAGGGCTTCGCGTCTGGCCGCCACTACTGGGAGGTGCAGGTAGGCGCCAAGCCCGAGTGGGCCGTGGGCGTGTGCAGCATGGCCCCTTCGGCCCAGGCCTCGCGTCCCCTGGTGGCTCCCAAGAGATGCTGGACGCTGCAGCTGCAGGACGGCGACTACCTGGCCGTGAGCATGAGTGCGGGGGCCGTGCCTCTGGCTCTCAGGGACCAGCCCGCGGCCATCGGCATTTACCTGGACTGGGAGCTGGGCCAGCTTTCCTTCTACAACGCCGCCGACAGGTCTCACCTGCACTTGTTCAACGAGCCCTTTGCTCAAGAGCTCAAGCCGTACTTCCGCGTGGGGCGCGACTGTGCCCCTCTCTCTGTGGGGGCGGGCAGGGCTTAGGGGGTTGATCCCTATTTCTGCTTTCTTCCTGTAATTAATTTATAGAGTAGGTTGTGGATTATTCAGTGATCACTGTGTTTTATTTAATTCACTTGTCATCGAATCTGGCACAATATTTTGAAAAGTATTTATTTCACTTTCAGGGAAGAAGAGCATTGTTTTTCTCTGTATATTGCCTCTTGTTTCTTTCTTTCTTTCTTTCTTTTTTTTTTTTCGGTGGGATGGTGGTATGGTTGGGTGGTAGATCCCAGCCATGAGTGTTCAGATGTACTACCTGGAGATGGTCTTAAGGCTTCTTTTGTTATGTCCCATGCAGGATTATATAAATTTATTTTTCTGTGGCTCAACCATTCGTGCTCACCACTCACCCTCACAAAAACCCGGTGACTTTTCAAGAAATTCCTCACTGTCGAAATACATTGTCCTGATTACACTGGGCTTGAAGCACATGCCCTTCCCTACTGCCTGGAATGGCAGATAGGCTTCTCCTTTGTGTACCACTTTTCCAATAAAGGCGGTTATTTTTGTGTTTAGTTGCTTGTGTTTTCTGTTGTTTCTTTCTTAGACTTGATCACTTGACTTCCCGTTATTAATCATCAATTTGCTCGAGCGGGTGCCAGTAACGTCTCCATTTCTCCCTGTCGTGTGCTAGTGTAGCCCAACGGCGTCTGTTCCTTCTAGGAACACAAAGAGCCTCAAACCGATCGTTTAGGGTCTTAACAAAGAAGTCCCGTGGAATTCAGTCGGTACCCTGGCTCTAGTCCAGCGGTCATCTCCAAATCTCATTAAGTGTCCAGCCCTTCTGATTTTTGACGCCTTGGCAAATGAGACAGCATCCCGGATTCTTGATCGTCAATGGAGGTCAGAACTCCAGATTCTCTCTCTCATTCGAGTGAAACATGATACTCCAAGCATAGCTCTTTCAATGCCTCAGTTCTTAGACTAGTATATAAAATTTCCTGTCTGAGTTCCAATAGTTTTCACATATGTGTCTGAAATAATTTAAAGTCTCCTTTTTTTGGATGACCTCTTTCAAAGTGTTTCAGGTGGGAACAAGAAGGGTGATTAGTGGCCCATATTTTCCCATGAATTGGGATAGAGCCATTGAGCCCTTAAGAGAAACTATGCATTTACGGGAGGCGGGGGGTGGGGGGGCAATGATAGGTGGGGATGATCTCTCCACACTGAGGAAAGGGCAGTTTGGTTTCCTGTCTCCTTCCAAAGCAAATGTTAGGGAGATTCACTTTTTATTTATTTATTTTTCCTTTTTGGGGTCACACCCAGCGATGCTCTGGGGTTACTCCTGGCTATACTCTCAGGAATTACTCCTGGCAGTGCTCAGGGGACCATATTGGATGCTTGAATTCGAACCTTGGTTGGCCCCATGCTAGGCAAACTCCCTACCTGCTATGCTATCACTCCAGCCCCAAGGTTCACTTTTTAAGGGAAACGTGATTCCTAGATTCCATTTAACACAAGATTAAAGTAAGTTTATCCAGCTCAAGGGTCTTTGTAAACTTGAGTTTCCTGGACACAAAGAGGAATGTCTGTTGGCATTGCCATGAGTATGGACTTTGAAGCAGAACTCAGCTGCATTTCCCCAGGGGACAGGGGCTGACTCAGTGATTAACTTCTGATCAAGCAGTTTTACTTCCCCTGTCAGTAAGAGAGGTATTTCCAGGTTTTGTCTTTGCCTCCTGTTTTCTGGGTCCCAAACACATTTTGTGCTTTTCAGCATTCACACAGCAACCAGCTCTAGTTGTGGGCACCGAGCTCGGCCTGTGGTACTAGGTGTCCATCATCAGAGCTTGCCCCGAGGTGCTGTGCCTTTACGGTCTAGTCAGTGGGAACCCTGACTCTTGACTGGATTGAGACGTGTCTCTTCAGGAGGGTCTCCCTTCTTCAAAAATTATATTTCCTGTTCCCATTCCAGTCGTCGCATGATGTTCTCGAGGGTGGCATTGAAGAGTTTCGGTGAAATGGTATCACCCTGCCGCACCCCTCTCTTGACATCAACGATCACTTCTTTGTAGAATGGTGAGATCCTGGTAGTGAATCCGCAATACAGCTCACGGAGGATCCTGATGTATTGGGCTTGAATGCCCTGATTGGCTAGGGCTTCAATGACCGCTTCCGTCTCAACAGAATCAAAGGCCTTCTTTAAATCAATGAACGTTAAGCAGAGCGGCATCTTGAACTCCCGAGAAACCTCAATGAGCTTGGTTATCGTGTGGATATGGTCGATGGTGCTGAATCCTTTGCGGAACCCTGCTTCCTCACATGGTTGTCCTTCATCTAGTGTTCTGCCAATCCTATTCAGGATGACTCGAGTGAACATCTTGTAGATGACAGACAATAGGCAGATCGGGCGATAGTTGCCAATGTCATGGATGTCTCCCTTCTTGAACAGTAGTATGGTCCTGCTGGTTTTCCATTGAGACGGAACCTTGCTTTCAGACAGGTAGCGAGTGAAGAGCTGAGCCAGTGTATTGATGAGTACTGACGGCAGGTTCTTCAGGTGTTCAGGTCTGACCTTGTCTGGGCCGGGTGCTGTTTGCTTCTTTACTGACGAAATGGCGTGTCGGATTTCGGAAGGGAGAACGTTGGGAACGACATACCCATCCTGTGGAATTTGGTATGTCGGCAAGTGGACCTGGCTATCGAAGAGATTTGAGTAGAAGTCATGGATAATCTTCTCCATTGCCGTTCTGGAGGATGTGATGGATCCATCAGGACGTTGGAGGGCAGTCATCTTGGTCTTATAGTTGGCGAAAGACAGGCGGGCGTTACGAATACTTTTCCCGGCTTCTGTCGCATCTACCAGTACTTCTGCTCTTCTCTCTTTGAGGTCTTCCTTGATCGCATCTCTGCACTGCTTTGCAAGCTCGGACGTTAGCTTGCGGTTGCCTGAGGCATGCGCCAAACCACGCTGGCGAATTAGCTCAAGAGTTTTCGAAGATAGGCGACTTTTTGTGGCTATCTCTCTCTTGGCGTTCCTCGCACATTCATGGAGGTGCTGAACCAGTCGATCGTATTCCTCGTCAATGTTGTCAACAATGGCATCTTCCCATGTTGCCGCAATAGTACCAAAGAGTTCCCAGTTGGTGGTCATTCTGGGAGTTCTCTTTTTGAACTTTGCAGCCCTTTCTCCCCGCTCTGTGAAGTAGAATTTTGCACGAAGGAGACGGTGGTCCGATCCCGTTCGAAATTTTGGGACAACAGCGACATCAGTCAGGCAAAACCGTCGATTGAATATGATGTGGTCTATTTCATTGTGGAATCGTCCACCGGGAGACTCCCATGTCCATCGTTTAGATTCTGCCTTCTGGAACTGTGAGTTACCATGAATGGTCTTGGTCGACATGATGAACTCAGACAGTCTCTCACCCTGTTCGTTCCATTCTAGGCCATGGGTCCCGACGTGAAGTTCTTCAGCTGATCTTCTCGGTCCTATCTTGGCATTAAAATCACCCACAATGATCTTGTAGAAGGTGTGGTCTTCTTTATAGAACTTCTCTAGCTCCATGTAGAACTTCTCGATTTCTCTTTCATCATAATGAGATGTTGGTGCGTAGACAACGAAGATAGAAACTGCAGGCAGTGAGCCACATCTATTCAAATGTAAACGTCCAATTCGGGTTGTTAGGCATTCGAATGAATCAATGCTCTTGGCCAAGTTTGTGTTGACAAGGACACCGACGCCTCCAACACCTCTTTTATCGCATGTTCCGAGGAACAATTCTTCTCCAGTGTCGAAAACGGCATGGTGAGATTCGTGCCTTCTTGTCTCGGTCATACCAATGATGTCGTACTTGATCATTCGCGCTTGTACCATCAGGTCCTCGATGGATGCATCTGATGCTAGCGTACGTGCATTGAAAGTACAGACGATCATTTTTGTCTTCCTTCGTTGTGGCAGCCTAGGTCGGCCTTGAGATTTTGTCGGCCTCTCCTTTCTCATCCTTCTCAGTGCTTGCATGTCGGTGAAGCCTTCAGGGTCAGGTGAATGAGACCAGTTGTAGTTACTGGTTTTGGCATATCGAATACACAGCGGATAGCTTGCCAGGCTCTTCCGGGCGGGCGGAATACTCTCGGTAGCTTGCCAGTCTTTCCGAGAGGTATAGAGGCTTTTGGGGTGACCTCTAATCACTCTTGTAGGTGTTACCATATTTGAACCCTATCAAATATGGTACGACAATTCCAGAAGACGGGTATTTAGTGTCTTATGATGTGTCGTGCGGCCGCAAGCGGCCGCGCGGGTCCGGAAAGCGTCCTGGAGTGTGGCGACGGCTGGGTAGTGGAAGTAGTGTAGTGGGAAGGAATGGGAGTGAAGATAGATGGTCGGCAACTATACCACCTCCGCTTTGCTGATGACATTGTTTTAATAACACCAAACATCAGCCAAGCAGCACAAATGCTGGCCGACTTTGACCATGAGTGTGGAAAGGTAGGACTAGAGCTGAATCTTATGAAGACAATGTTTATGAGAAACAGCCTCGTTCCAGACGCCCCATTCGCTCTCAATGGAACGACCATCTCCAAATGCAACAGCTATGTGTACCTAGGTT